TGCTGAACTCCTGTGCGTGGGGCTGAGCTGCCAGGACCCTGGCTGGCAACAGCACCGCGCGAGGACTGCGTGTCTGATGTAGCAGCAGATCTTACTGCCAGCACACACACCAGGCTGGATAAGAAGTGCCATACCCATTGTGGGGAACAATGCAGTGTGACATGAGCACCAGGGGCATGAACCCCTGAACAGAAGTGTCCATGCCAACAGTGGGCAGCCACCACACTGCCTGAGCAAGAGAACCACCGCACAGCAGGTTCTAGCAGTGGAGGCGAGGCAGAAACAGGATAAGGGTGGATTCCCCGAGCAGAGTCCAAGTTGGTAAGGATATAGGCAGGCAATGGGGAAAATTCAGAAAGGCAGGGATACAGGGTCAGATGGGCTATAGAAAGAATAAAGGTAGACAGGCAACAGGGATGGCTGGTAGTCCGTAAGTGATGCAATGTCAGATTGCCAAGGAGAAACTAAGCAGCAGATCTTAAATAATTTGGAGCACCTGCTGCAGGCTGACTTCTCATTACATAAAAGTTCTCTTTATCCCCATAACCAGTGCAGAACAGGTAGAAGCCTTTTAAAAGATATTGGTTTTTCAATCAAAATAAAATTGCAATAATAATTATATGTCAATAAATCAGTGGAAACTTTTTGTTCATTTTACCCTAAATCATTTCCCTCTTGTTTTTACAGATTGATCACTTCTTCTCCTGTCAATTACAAGTAAGCTTTAAATATGAACTTGTGCATTTTTTTAATTCGTTTCTTAATTTAATAGTAAAATATACTTTTATCTTTGTGTGAATGACTGTTTTCAGGAATCCAGTGGGAAGGACAGGTTTGGAGGGAAGTGGGTCATTGTATCAATTAGGCCCTAACAAAGCCTTGGACCCTGTCATTACAAGGTAAGATCTATGAGCACCAAGGCTTCACATACTGTAGATGGGCATTGGGGGAACACAGCATGTAAGAACATAAAAAGCTTGTGAAGGAAATCACTCTTCTTACCTAGTGATATCAAGCTTTCCTTCTCGGTTTAAGCCAGTGGCGACAGGCTTAAGGAAAATTTAGAAAGAAAATAAGTGCAATTTTTTTCAGTGCAGGTATAACTGCAAGATCTGTTACAATTAGGTTCCTCTGCAAATAGGTCCAGAACAGAGAAAAATGTGTTTCTTGATAACAGTCTCCTGGTTAGACAAGTCTTTCAATTAGACCAGCATGTGAGAGTTATTGCTGAGATGAGTACTAAAGGTTCAGTGCTGACCTGTTGACTTACAATACAATACCATACAATTATATTGTGATGGTATTTTGTAGCAATTAGGAAATAGTTTAATTCTGGACATGAGAGGGAAGAAGCACATTTCACTCTCCCAACAAATAAGTTTGGCTACCACTGTCGAGTTCAATTTCTGAGGAGCCAGTTTTTTCCATTAGGAAAGGAGGTGGGAGCTCTCAGAGGGACAAAGTAACTTGGTTCAGCTACTGGTCCAGCTAAGGAAACCCCATTAGGGTTTTGAGAAAAGGGGAAATTGGGCAGGTAAAGTGCATTATGGATTAGGGTGGGAAGGTGTTTTATTAGGCCAGGGTTGGTATGGACTCTGCCCTAGCTATGTGATTCCCCCATATGGTTATAGTCTGCTTAGGGATATATAAATGGTGAAAGGCTCCAACTAAAGGGTGGTTAAAGTGTATAGCTCCACCACCACTACGGTACAGTATACGTAGAATAGTGGTGGAGCCACATATACATTAGATTTTAGTTTTAAGTTATGAGAAAATAAATATAGACATTTCCTTTGCCAACAATAGTGTTTCAAGATGATTGTGAACTATAAAATAAGCTAGTCTTTACAAAATTGATATTTGCTTGTTGTTTACTTTTTGATAAACACTAGCTGATAGTTGTGGTCTATAAAACATCTGTCCATACCAGGGTGACTGCTCAAGTGGATACACTTATCTGCCTTGCATAGTATGACCTGTTATTACCTGTTATCAATTTTTTTAGTACTCCCCTTGTTCTTTGATATAATCAAGTTGTATAAAGTTTGCAGACAGATTGATGATGATAATGATGATGATGATGAAAAATTACTGCTTGTCATTTCAGGTGGAAAGTGGATAGTGAAGGGTCTATCCTGGAATTCATAGCTGTCAGGAATAAAAAAGATGAGATATGGGCCTTTCCAGGGGTAGGTTATATTGTAAAGCTTTATCCTCACATGTGTACTATACAACATGGTGCATCTAGTTTCCATAGAAATAGTGCAAAACAAAGATACAGAGCTGGAGAAAGAAAACATTCCAGAACCTGTAAAAGTTTTTTACCAGATGTATATGCAGGGGTCACTGTGTTTCTGAGAGCTGAGAGAGACCTTGTCAACTACCCCTGCCCTTCTTTCCATGGTGCCTGGCCAATTGTACACTGCCACCTGTGGAATCTCAGCTACAGTTGACGTGGCATGACCCAGGTTTAAGCCTGTAATTATGGAGCTTCACTTGTGCAAACCATTTGAACCAATTGGGAGGTCTTTATGTAAACCTCTTTTCAGGGAGCAAGTTGGGTTCTGTAATCAAGATATCTGTATAATGCATTGTCCTTCTCATGAGATGTTAGGCAAAAATTCTGACTTCTTGGTCACTTATGATCCCATGTCACAAGAATTGGGATGCCAACCCTGGTGCCCTTGCAAATTTTCACTCTAGGCTTCTACAAGGTAGCTTTCCTAAAGTTCCCTCTTGAATCAATTCCTCACTTCCCCTCCTGATCTGTGTAGTGGGGTGAAAGTGCCACCCAATGGGGCAGATGTAGTGAGTTCCATTCTATGTGTTAATATTGATATATTGCTTTGGATGAAAAGCATTATATAAATGTAAAGAATTACTGTTGTTTTTAGTAGAAGTATTAGTATTATTTAAATCAGAGCTAAATATGGAATGGAAAGTAAAGGTTTATTCCCTGCTGAAAACAGAAGAAAAGAAACACATTTCAGCTGTGGAGCCTTCTTCAGCTGTGGAGCTTAATATTCTGCCTACTGGAACTGTGATTCCACAAGGGGCTACACACTGCAACAGTGCTTAAGGTTTGGGTCAGTTTAAAGTCAGGGATTTCCCTGCATGGTGTACAACAGCAATCACTTTTGAAGTCAGTTACTGGTTTATTAGTCAGAGCTGTATAATTGCTCCATCCTTAGATTTGAGGTCTAGGTTTAGGCTTGATCAACATGGTGCTGAGTAAATAAAACTTTGTTTTCTTGGAAGAGTTATTTTGAAAGGGTTTTGGGGGTATATGCTGTTTTAATCTTTTTTTTATGCAGGTACTAGGGATATTAAGTGTTTTCATTTCTTTAAAAAATGTTAATTCCAGAAAACGTAGACACATACATTTGTAAGAGAGCTATTACACTATGAAAGTGATATTCAATTTCAAATATTAAATTTTTTACAGAAACTGTAACCCTTAATCTTATCCTAGCCCAGAGTGAGAAAGAGCACTATCAGCAGAAACAAGTTGATAAATGGGAGACTTGCAAATGACACCGTCTGAACTCCAAGTAAACTCACCAGACTGCAATGCACTGAAATGAAATCTGGTTTTCTCACAGGGAATTCTGCAACCAGGTGAAACGTTACCAGAGAGGTTGAAAGAAGTAGTGGGAAAGAAATTGCAGGAGAAGATTGAGAGTATGCTCCATTGTGGTATCAAGGTAAATAGAAATCTACCTAAGAGAGGTAGATTAGATGAGAACAACTTTGCATCTGCAGTCTGAAAGCAGTCACTGTTCAGAGTGCATTTAAACCTACAGTACAACTTTTTCTACCACTACTAAATCACTTTTGTGCATGTGAGCTTGTGGATTTCCATTATTGAATGGTTTTGCCTTGAGACAACAAATTGATACTTTGTTCTGTTGTTACCATATAACGTCTCATCTAGTTGGAGTAATTATGTCTTCTTCACAAGTTGTACAGGCAAACTGACACATTTCTATCTCTATAAGGAGCAAGACACAATTTTCATTGTTTTTGAATATAACCTTGAACTAAGTTCATTCAGGAAGTATCCTGAGTTTCAATATGACACAACCGCTCTCTGAAATTTTGTTTTTAAAAATGTCTTTTCACTAAAGTCTTATAGTAATCTAACACAGTCAAACATTAAAAATGAAGTGCAAAAAGCATGATTTGAAAAGTGTAAAAGTTTCAGTTGCATCTTAGTAGTCTTTAGTTCTCCATAATTAAATAATTCAGTGTAGTTTTTCTTTTCCATACAAGTTTATCTTTAGATCATTTCTCCTGGTTTTTAAATCATATTCCTGTCCAGTTCTTGTTCATATTCTCAATAAATATTATTACAGCATAATATGATGATTGGTTTAAGCTTTAATTTATATCCCATTTAAGATAAATGAAAATGAGAAATAAATAAAGATTATGTATTTTCTTCATGATGGAGTTAGAGTAGATTTACCTTAGTACTACATGGACATAAGCATGATGGTCAACATTCATGTATTTTGCCGTTAACAGGTGTATCAAGGTTATGTGGATGACTGTAGAAACACAGACAATGCCTGGGTGGAAACGACTGCTATCAACATACATTTCAATAAAAGTGACTCGGCACTGGATGATTTCATTGGAATGACGGTAAGGGCTTATGCAAAAATGGCTGGTGGGGGGGGGAAGTCATTGCAATAAACACACACGATATTAAAATGATTTTGTAGGACTTCTCGTGAATTTTGTTGAATGGAAGGTCATGAAATCTGAGACTGAGTTATTTGCATCTTATTCCTGATTTCAGATGCTGTCCATGTAAGTACAATAATTCTATAAGTAAATATCTTAGTAAGCTCTTCTAGTTTTAGGATAAACGTATGGTAACAGAAGTCTCTAGAAGACTAAATGGTTGAAGTGATGTTATGGAAGCTGCACACTTTATGTTATGGTTTTATTATATGATTAGTATCAGTATTCTGTGATTATGTGTAGAGGTAAAAGGTTTTGGTACTCTTGAATATACAGTTCTATACCATTAGGATCTGTGTCTAACTGATCACAGAAGGAGGAAGTATACTTATAATTCTGTTTTTTTAACATAAGTGAACATTGCATGTTATCCACATAGAAAATGTACACTTGTATTTGTAAGGATGAAAATAAACATGGATGTAATGGAAGTGATCTGTAATGATCACTGCCAAATTACTAGCAGACATTTCTCACTTTAGAGGTTTTATGTGGTGTAATTCAACCTACTCTAAAAAGTAGCATATTCTGTTAATGTTCTGTTACCACAGACTTTTAAACAAGACCAAATTTTCAATTATTTGAAAATATTTCATTATTTGTCTCATTTGATCAAAGTTCACATTTAAGAAAATGAGACCATTGTTTTCATTAGGTGTATTGTAAACATGAATAAAATTAACTGGGTACTTTCCCTTTAGAGTTTCAGAGACAGCTCTTCAGGTCTGCTTGTCGAGTGGGAGGATGTATCTGACAGAATTGCTCTGTGTGCATACCAGAAGGACATTCTACGGATGGTCGCTGAGCTTCACAATATCCAGCTCTGATAAAGAACATGCAGAGGGAATTTTAGACCAAAGACAATGGGAGCACATTACCATCTCTAAAGCAAGGCCTTTATTCTTGGAATAAGAGCCTGAAGAGTGAAAAATCCCAACATTCTCCAATGATCTCTGTTGATGAAACTAATTAATCTGCTACCAGGATGGAGGTTTTTGGCTTTAACGGTGCTAGATTATATCTGTCTAGTACCCTAAAGTCATAAAACTCCATTAGAGTTAACCAGAGCATCTTGTACTGATTTTAAAACATACAGTATGTATATAGGCTGAAAAACGCATATATATACCGTAGCCTCTAAATTTTTTCATACCCTTGAGAAACATTTTCTATATTTTTTCTATATTATATGTTGCCCTGCATAAGCAGCCAGGAGCTTGCTCTCAGAAGCTGGTCGGCACAGAAATCAGAAACCTCCAAGGAGGTACTGGTTGCTGCTGTTCAGTGTTGGTGGCCAGTGAGTCTCACTCTTCCCCTTGGACAAGAATTTCCAAACCAATACTTCAATATGGTGACCAGGAACTGTGTTGTAGAATTATCTGTCCTTCAGATGTGATGTTAAACCAAACTCCTGGCTATGTGGTTATTTAAAATGCCATGACTCTGTTTGTAAGATTAGCAGTTTCAATGAGCCTATTCATTCAGATTTGGTTGGTTTGATCTGCAGCAAAGTAAGTGCAAGCATTCAAGAGTAAGATCTGCACTGGCTGTTTTCGATCACACCTCTCTCTACAAATAGGGAATTAATATTGTTTAGGTCTAATCTGCAAGTTCTGGGGCCAGACTAGTTTTAGGGTTATTATAAAATATTATGATTATAAATGGTTAAAAAAGGAACAGTGGGTTTGTTTTCCTTATGGTTAATGGTTAAAATTGAAAAAAGGTTAGATTTCTCTGAAGGTAGGGTTTGAAGAAGGAAGGAGCACAGCTCAGCTCTACTGTCACTTAAGCTTAGTATTACGGAGGACTCGTGAGAAAATAACAGGTTACAGACCAAGTCAGGGCAGGTGATTTATACCAGGGTTGGTTCAGCCTCAGTCCTGGTTTCATAATTTTCCTCATAGATTTTTTATTAAAGGGTGCAAAGACCCTACCAACAGGAGGTTTATATGCAGAGGTCTTCCAACTCCATATTATCCGTTTAGAGGGACCTGCCAGATCGTGTTAACTGTGGTGTCCTGTTTAATTCCTTTGTAGGCTTGCACTGTCTGACCCCATAACACCAGAAACATCTCCTAGACCTGTGACAAGTAGTTTTCATCTGGAAATGTCTGCTAATGGCTGCCCAGAGGTGATGACTCTGCCATACGTGAAAACCACACACTGTTGCACACTGCACACTGTTGAACACTAAACATTTACAAGATGTTCTTGGTGCTATGACATGTAGAAACAAAGTTAAAAGGCTTTACCAAAAACAAAATAAATCACACTTGGGCCATGTCTAGACATATCCAACAGTACTCTGCCTAAGCATATGCTGACTCCTAGCCACATTCACTTGGGCTACTCAAGACTGGTCCAACCAATTTTACTGATCCGCTAATTAAAACCATGTGTACCTTCAAATATATCATTTATATTATTATTCAGTTTTGTACAACAGAAGAACTACCAACCTATTGTAAGTTTGATTGGGGAGCTTTGTAAGTGTGCATTGGCTGCAAAGGGACAAGTAAAGTTAATTTGCACACTCCATCCCAAGTAGAAAGAAAAAAACTGGTTAAGAAGGCTCAACAGCCAAATTGTTGTGTTTCTTCTTTCTCGTTTTTAGTGTAGAATTGACCTTTACTTGAGCTGTTTACAAATACAGGGTCGTTGTAGCTGTCCACCTATCAGCCACTAGTGGCAACCCCATTTGTCACTGCATACCTCGACAGGGCAATCCATAACAAGGGTACAGCATAAACAAGTTTCACTGTTGTGTATTTAGAGAGTATTTTGTGTAATTATTTTTTACAGTTATTTATGTGCTCAGAACTTCTTTCACACACTTTTATCACATTTTAATTAATAAAATGTTTATATACATCTTCATTTTCTTTGCCAAATCAACATTTTTTGCTATTCATTGGGAGTATGAATTCATTTGGAGGCTACTGTAGAATTAAGGCTAATACACAGATGGTCAGTCCCTGGTTGTGCCTTTGTGAATTTGTGCATTTGTTAAAAATGGCAACACAAAGTACTTTATCAGAAAACAGAAATATAAGAGGGTTCTCTCTTGTGACAAGCTAAAGTTTGTTTTACTGCAGTTAGCAAGAATTTTTCCCACTTACTTGGTTTTACTTTAGGTGCTTTAAAAGTCCGTTATTACTTTTGTTTTTACTACAGGTGATATAGTGAACTTCAATAAAAAAGTTTCTTCTAGGGTCAGTGCGAAGTAAATTGCAATTGGTACTATTTAAAAAATAAGTATAGTCATCTGGCGTACTACTACAGGAACAATATTCAGGGGATATACTACATATTCGTTTTGATGTATTGAGAGAAGCAATAAAATACCCTTTTTTCAGATTTAAGTCTCTACACAGAACCCGTACACACCAGTGTGCACGCACACTAACTATGCGTAACAACAAACATGTACGAGTTCAAAGTATTGAGAAGTCGCAAAAGTAGTAGTGATTTGAAAACATTAAATTATTTTTCATGGGATTTATACAACTCACATCGAATCTTTGTATGTCATAAGCTATTGTATTATAGCGGGCTTGTGTTTTCCATAGACATAACGCGAATAATAATAATAATGGTAGGTTTCGGGGTTATTCAGTTCGGCTATTCTTATTGGTCCTGGCTGCTGACCTGTATCGCTAACGTAGTATCGGTACCACACCCTCCCTCTGTTTTCTTCCGGTTAGCGTTCCGTTGTTTATTAATGTTTATATCCTACTTATTACTCAACAGACCTGCACTGGACTTTCTTTTGATTTGAATAATGTTTTTCTAGTTAATAAAAGTCAAGAAAAGCTTATTGTTAATTTTCAATAATACGGGGTAAATTTCTTTACGACAACTGTATATCCATAACAATATTCGTATGAATTAATGTTTTTTATTGTTATATTTAATTTATGTAACCGAAGTAATGAAAATGTACGCTTTTAACTGAATTAAGTCTATCAATAATATTTACAATAAAATATACTTCTATGCTATTGTACATGAATGTTCAGTGTACATTTATACTGTGTTACCTTGAGGAGTTGGATAGTAGTACTATTTGGTGGATATCATACATGTACATTGCACTCCACATAGAAAATTCTGATAGGTGATGTTTTGGATTGATGAGATTAGTTGCAACATTTATGTTACTAAATTAAGGTAATAGACTAGGAGTGCACAATACATTTTTTAACGTCCAAAGACACTTGTTACTACTGTTCCAATATCCATATATTAATCCAACATTCTGTCGAATGTTTTCTGAAGGTGGTTTCATTTGAAGAATATCCCTTTCAAGCATGAATGTCAATTTTACTGGACGTCAGCTGCCAGGTTTCAGTGAGCAATGTGAAACTGGCAACATTCAGTGTCAGGTGCGCTGAGGTTACAGGTGTTCGATATGCCAACGAGGAAGTGACGTTTCCGCTCACGAGATCCAGATCAAACACAGAAGGAGCGAGAAAGGATCTGATCTTTCTCTAGAAATTGAGAAGGTACAAACTTTTGAATTAAACAACATTTCTTTTACTTGCTTTATGAGCAAAACAGAGATTCCATTGTTTATCTTTATGGATTGTAAGCATGCGTATTAGGCATGCGTGACTGGTTTGTTTATGCGTTACAGCCCATAGTGATACTGTACGTAGCTATCGCAGGCACGATGTTATTTTAATTTGCAGTGGATATTTTGTAAAGACAACTCGGAGAAGTGCAGTCAAATTTAGCGTTTTATTATTGGTTGTATGTGTGTCCGTACTTGTGTAATGTGTCGGGAAACATTATATATTGATAGATCAAGAGTTCGATATATACATTTTGTCTCTGAGGGTGAAACAGCATCGATTAGATCTGCTTTATGCGTACAGTATGCGGGTGACTGGGTAATGTTGGGCACACTCAGCCTTAACAGTGTGTTCTTCCGTTCGTAATTACAGTATATTATTCTGTCTCTTTTCTGCTGTTGATGCTTTTTAGTAAAATAAGGAACCAAAACCACCAATAAATACGTTTGCTAATCCGAGCCGACGTGTGGATATGTTGTCTTTGTATACATTTTGTAATGGGATAGCAGATTTTGTTTTATTTGTAATGTATTTCGTGCCGTTGAATGTAGAGTGGCATTTGCTTGCTGAGGGAAACGTACATGCTTAGTACAGGTTCTGTAGTTTGCTTTGCAGTTAATAATTAACACATGTTTAATAACTGGCTGCTTACCAGAATTTAACAGAAGATTAGAGACTAAAATGCAACACAAACATAACGTGAGACGGACAAGGACAGGGTTGACTAACACTGATAATGTGCAAATCATTATAGTCTAGAGCACCCAAGTACTTTTACTTTAGTTGTAACATAACAGGACATTGTTTATAACACATGTACATGTATACGTGTTTTACGTTTTGCATGTCCATGAAGCTCCATTTCTAAACTATTGCTTCAATATAATATCAACCATCCCCATGTATTTTGAGAAGCATCTCTGGCTGTTCATTGATGAACAGTATTTCATCAACATATCATGGCAGTGAAGTCTCAAAGAAGTGCAGGATTTTATATTCAGCACTGTGTGTTTTCTGCAGATTTTAAAATGAATGTCTTGCTGCAGCAGTAGGAGGTGGTGTAACGTCAGTCCTCATGGAATTTCTCTGCATGGAAAGGCTCAGCCTTTTGTATGGAATCAGGTGCCTAGAGGCATTAACATTCTCCTTTTGTTGGAAATAAACTGTTCTAAATGCTGTTCCATATCTCATAGTATTTGATTGTGAGGTAATGCTTTGACACATTTTGATTCAATGAGGATAGTCAAATAATTTTATGAGTGGTCAGTCTAAAAGAATGATGTTTTTTGTGTCATGTACTTATTTTGTCAGCCCGGTGTAAGGTTTTTTGAGGACTTAATAGTGTCATAGTAAGCAACATAGACTTAGTCTGTTGGCCTGTAATATGCAATCTGTAACTTTTACATTTCCATATGGAGGGCATTGAGTTTCCACTGTCTTGCAGAAGAAATGCATGAACAATTTTTGGCTACCTCCAAAAAGCCTTCTGATCCCAGTATTCTCTAGTTTTCATTTCAGCTGAGTTCTTATTTTCTTAAATGACACTTTATATTATCTATTCATTTGAAAACATTTGTATTTTTCTCTGCTCTTTAAAGTACTATAAACTTCACAAAACTTTGTTACCTGCTAAATGGCCCCATATATCCTAAACAAGAAAGCAGTTACATTTCCATTTCCATTAGGGCCACGTCCTGTCCTGATGGCTTTCAACATTACGCTATTGTATTTAAACTAAAATTTATTTAAGGTTCCCACCTGTGATTATACAGAGCTTATACAGAGCTTACTGTGCTATACAAAGGAAACACATGTCAATCAAAAGATATCTAAATATCTATTATTTCCTTGCATTTAATGTTTTTTTTTTATTCCAAATGATCCAAAGCAGCTTTACTGGAGAAGTAACCCCCTTTACCCCCTTTATTTTTTTTAGGCAACTCAAGCAGCCCCACTCCTCAGCAGAGTAGAGTTGAATTTTGCCAGGACACCTGGGTTAAGACCCTTACAGATGTGGCATGGCAGAGCGTCTGCATTTTCATGTGGAATTGTATTTGATAACTGCACTACACATATGATTTGATGAAATGCAAAGGAACAAGTAAAGGTTTATTCCATTCTGAAAAGAGAAAAAAAGAAAAACAAGGTTTCGACTGTGGAGCCTTCATCGGCTGACACCCGAAGATGGCTCCATAGCCGAAACGTGTTTTTTTTCAGCATGGAATAAACCTTTACTTGTTCCTTTGCAGCCTACTTGTTTTGAGATTTAGTGTGGAAGGTGAAGAAGTATGGAAGAGCAAAACTCAAGGCAGACGAGCAGGCAAAAATTATGAGTATGAAACAGTGAACGTGTATTATAGACATATTCATGTCCCAGCACCATTTAGAAGAGTGATTGCTTATGTGTCTGCACAATTGTTAAGAAATGCATGTAGGGAATCAGACCTACAAGCCAAATAAGATGTGTCAATGCAAAAGAACAGCCATGGTGGTCTGAAACAATTGAAACCGAGGTGTAGCATAGTAGGAGCTGTGGAGTGAGATACTGCTACTAATTCATTGTGTGTGATAAACATAATTGGAGTGTTGTGGGACATCAAGATCATCACAGTATGTTGGCATTGTGTACAATAATGTACTAATGTATTTTTATAGTGAGTGTCTGTCTACAAAAACAATAGTTCACCCTGTGACAAAGATAATATAGATGTAAAATAGTAGTTAGAAAATGCTAAAGAATATATTTGAAGGTCTGACCTCAGTCACACAGAACAGACTAAGAAGAACTGGAACAGGAAAAGAAAATGACCAGAAATACTACCTTCTTTAACAGTACTGGACCTACTGTGTAGGATGCACTACACAGTTTTCCTCCTGCTACCCATTAAGAGTGATGGAGAGTCCCTTCTTGCTTTGCAGTAGTTATTAAGGGCATGTGTTACAGTAGGTCTACACCCTGTTAAATACATTGTGAACAGCTGGCTTTTGTTTGCTAACTCAATATTTTGTTAATAAAGTATAAACTAAAGTTCATCAGAGCTTTGTTAAGTCACCTTAACCTGCTGGGAAAAGTCTCTGGTCCATGTATGACCTATTCTTTCAGGGGAAGAGTAAAACATTAACTTACTAGTACTCTCTATCCCTTCTTATAAAAATGTGTTTGCCTGTCATTATTCATTGTCAGGAAGGTCTGACTGTTAGTTCCTTTCTTCTTCAATTGTTTTATTTTTCTAAAAAAAAACTTCAGGGGTACTTCAGGGAGTGAAAATTAGTTGGTGAGACTACTCTCTCCTGAAAAATATCAGTGCTGTGTTCTAAGGTTCAGAGTTTCTAAGGTTCTTTACTACCAGGTTATTCAATGGTGGTTCAAAACATTTAGACGTTTATTAGATTGCTTTCACAGTAATCAATGATGTAATAGTAATCATACTCACTTGCATTTATAACGCATTTTACATCCTAAAGGATCCAGAATTGGATCCATTTCATCCACCAGTGAAGTACAGCATCCATTATAGGGCAACAGCCCCACTACACAGAATATTAGGGGACGAAGTGAGAAATGAATTAGCTGAATTAAGTTGGAAATTTAGTTAAACTGAATTTTTCAAGCACATAGTGGAATGTAGCTATGACATCAGGGTTAACATTCCTACTGTTTTGAACACTGCAATGTAACCTTAAGTAACTAAGTAAACAGAACTTGGTTTTCATGTCTAATTTAAAGGACAGTTGTAGTCATTTCAATTACAGAGGTCATTTCAATACAAATACGTTTTAATTTTTCATTTCAAATACTTTATTTGTGATGGGTGCAGATCTGCTCTACAGTATACGTGCTGTGATTAGATCATGGTTGTTTGTAGGCTACAAGCCTCACAGCACCACTCTAGATAGCAGCAAACTCTACTGTGTCAAAAGCCTGGATCTTCTGTACTGACAGAAGTATACACTGGCTAGTTGCTCTCCAGAGTAATTACAAGCTCTACTATACTTAATGATGTCACTTGATTTGAAGTCAGTAAATGCAGTACACGTATTTTAAAATATTCCCAGAGGGACCTAGATCAAATTCTGCCCCTGGTCTGCCTCAGCAGCATCCACTTATCTGGTTTAGGATTAGCCTAGTGCAGTGGTTCTCAAACTCAAACGCGTACCACGAATGGTATGCGGAGCGCTACCAGCTGGTACGCCATATGACCCTGGAACTTTGTTGTGTGCACTGAAAAATCGGGAGGGGTTTTCATATTTTCTGTTTTAATCTGTTTCGAATATGCAGCCCACGTACTACGATACAGCGCGTGCTAATACTTGAGTGGACACAAGAGCTACAATGTAATTCTATTCCATTCTATAGGAATGCGCGCTAAGAACTAAGTAACCAATTGTATTTAAAAAAGGTATCTTCAGCAAATAGGGAGGTATGTGTGTGATTTTGGAAGACCACCAATCTTATAATCACAGGAAAGCATAGAAATGCGTGCTACGAATGAAAGTGGCCAATTGTATTTAAAAAAAAGTTAACACCAGCAAATAGGGAGGTAGAGAATATGCGTGATTTTGGAACAATGCCAATGTTCTAAGCACAGGAAAGCATAGAAATGCGTACTACGAACGCTGGCAATCTTGTGAGCACAGGAAAGCGTGATAGATAACAGAAAAATATTTAAGAACTGTTCTAGGTTAATTTGAGAAAAAAAACACCGAGCGTCTCTCTGTTTCGCTCCCATGCGCATGAAATAATTTCTTTTAACTTCTGAGAAGGACTCCTGAAACGGAAACGGGGAAAATTGCAAGCTTGCAGATTACTAAAGCAGGTAAGCGCCACACTATTTTTGAAGAACCTTATTTACCATTGGCAAAAGAGCTGACACATACTATGTGTGGAGAAAAAGCTGCTAAGCAGCTCATCCTGCTGCCCCCTCCGAAAG